TTTATACTTTCTCGTACTGTACAGCTCACTTTTCCAAACAAGCCATGATTGTATGCCACTTTTCAACAGAATATGCCAGTCGAATTAGGATAATAATAAACCAGAATGCACATAAGTATTACGCATACACTGATAATTCAAAATAGCACGAAGTTAACTCATACCAGGTCGCTACCATAGTACTGAACAATGTTTACATGTGAAAGCCGACTGAGCAAATCAATCTCCTGCTCAAACAGCCAAAATTGGGAACAGATCAGATGGACCAGAAAGCATCAAGCAAAAGTGTGAACCAAAAATACAAGTACTGTAGATAGTAGGTACTATATAATTCGAGAAAGCTTGGATTGCGGATGAACCTGATTCAATTGCTTGAGACATTCTTTGGATAATTGATCGTCCGAAACAACCCGGACTTCCTTTATGGCACACATTTGACCGTTCTCACTGTCACGTTTTTAGGCAATTCATTGAACAATAATACTTTATCATGATATAAACAAATTAAAGTTGAAGCTTCATTACAAGTTGAATCCGAGATAAACATGACCAAATGTTCCCCTTCCTAGAAGCCTCCCTTTCCTCCATTTTGATGGATTACAACTTGAGGTTTTAGTTATCCCGGGACTTCTTGGGGTCGGCAACATAGAAGGGTTGGCAGGAGAACCAGGTGGAAGGGGTAGCTTATGACATTCACTCTTTCCATCTTCTGGTTTCCTGGTCGGAGAGTCCATATTAATACCATAACATCGCAGATGAAGAGGTGAGGTAACTTTGGTAGTCCCCTTTGCTCCTTGACTTGGGCTTCGCAACAAAGGACTTAATTTTTTATCTCGAGGTTCTCTGCCAACAAAGGACATCCATAAGACTATTTACCAAACTAGATGAGACTAGACAGTATCCACCTTATGCTCATCGAGATATTCATGTTTAAAGTGATAACTTTTAATGACAATATTCTACAGTTTTTCTTCCAAAAATAATTGATATACAGACATATAATTGAACAGAGGTAAAAATAAAGTTACAAATTAAAGCCTCACTTTATATTGCTCTTTCTCAAGAAATAATCCATTTACATGTCATTCCAGGAACCGAGTCCCCTTTATTGTCAAGAATAAATTGGTACCAAGTTTCAACTTTCATCAATACACACTTTCTTCATAATAAATCTGGACTCCACAACGTGATTCAATCTGCTCAACTCTATTACATACATTCAATGTTAGACCCAAAATTTAACCGGAAAAATCCAATCTCAAGAGAGTTTGAAACCAACCTGAAAGCATGATCAACCACAACATGGGCATGGCCACAAGATGATTCGGATGAACCAACACTGGGAACGGAACCCGACCCGGATGCATATCCAGCTCCGAGAGCACGATTATGCTCATTCGATGACTCCAAAGGACTGGGCAATGGGAGCCCTCCACCTTGTTTCCCTATAGCAGCAAAATCCTTGCTTTTACTCGGTGAATTTGATGAATCCTTTGAAGAATTCTCATACTTACTAGTCTTTTTCCCCCACCAGGATGGCATATTTATTCAAGAAAAGAAATGGGAACTTTATATATCTCTTGTGTTCATATACATATATGAAAGTGGGGTGAATGAAATTGCAATTGAGGTTTGTGGAGGAGCTCAAGGAAAAAAGATCCCAAGAGAATTGCCGAGTAGGGGTGGGGTGGTGGGCGGCGGAGTTTGCAAAAGTTCGATGTCTACATATACGTGTGTAATCGGTTTCTGAATGCATGCATATTTTTTTCCCTTGAAATGAGTTTTTTTTTTTTTGAAATCTGCCAAAAAAGAGAATAAATTCCCAAATACATAGGTGATTGTCCCATGCTACTCGACCATAGACAAAAAGAGAGAGGTCCACCACATCAAAGAAAATAAATAATAATTATTATTGAGAAAATATCTTTATCATTTGTTTTTACTGTACAAATCATCCATATCATTTCACTTTTAATTAATTATAGGATCGAGCTTGGACTACGATCCAATGGAGGCATAACTTTGATTTTTTAAACGAAGTAACAACACAATAATTGTAAACTTTTTACAATTTTTTTAATAATTTTTCATTTTATATTTTGTATATTTAATACATTGAACTACACAAGATTAAGAAATAGAGACGTATGATAAAAGATCGTTAATTTTGTGCATAATCCTATTCAATATATGGTTGTGGATGAAGATATGAAAATTGGACATAGCATTCTTTATTCTATCCAAACAGTCCCTTTTTTGTAAATATATCTAAGTTAACCTTTAGATCATTCTGTAGTTTAGATCAATCAATGCACAATCTGACTTTTCCTCAAAAGTCACATCACATATTTTGCAAAGGAATTTGGTTGATTGATAAGTGTAGTTTTTACACTTATTCGAGATTCTAAATGATGACATCTTACTGTTATTTGGATAAAATACTACATAATTTATGTTATATTTTATTTTTTAGGTAAAACTTAATATTTGATGAATAATTGGATAAAAAAATGCAAAAATAGCTGGGAAAAAAAAGACTCAATTGTATCAAATTCAAAGTTGCTAATGAATTATTGACATCTAAACCTAGTCATATCAAGATGACACTTCATTAATTAAAGTATGTAAAGGACATGAGCCATGCTAGGGAGCCTGGGTTTGCACCCAAGCTTTGGTGATCGACGCCATGTGGCGTCATTTCATT